AAGTTGCTCAATAATTGATTTAATAACTGCATTCCTGGATAACCATAACATTTTATGTTTGCTAAGATCCTGGGCGATTCAAAAGTATGGGCGAGAACAGGGTCATCGCTCTGGGCGACTGTAAGGCACTCCATTCGCTCAAATCTTGGGCGTCTTGTAAGCTTGGGCGATGATATTACTGTGTTCGTGGGCTTCCACTGCATTTATTAATAACCATGTCTAGGCCTTTTATCCTGAATTGCCCCATTGGACTTCATTCTTTGAGCTATTTGATTTGGGAGTTTCTCAATTGGGCTTCATTTCTTGGGTTATTCGATTTGAGAGTTCCTCAATTGGGTTTCATTCCTTGGACTATTCGATTTGGGCTGCACTTTTAGTGTGTCAACAACTACCTCATCAGATTCTCCGTTACACAAACTCACACGAGTAGATGAAATGAAAGTTTAGCGGAGATCAACATTAATTTTCAAGAATTCAGTAACCACTAATTTTTAATATCCAATCCAAGTTAGTGATCGCCATGCATAATTGAGTTTTAAATTTGTCCTTTTATTATATATTAAAAATAGTTTCGTGCGTATCCACCGCACACGAACAGAAGAGTTGCCCGGCCGTCGGTCGGGCCATGGAGAGAATATTAATTTGATTGGACTGATTTTAAATTATTAATTTAGAAAACGCGTCTAATTTATTCACACATAAAACCAACAATCATTATTCATTACCATTATTTACTGGTAAGATTTTTAAAAGAATTGCGTCTGAATATATTTGTTTACTGTACATATCTGGTAGGTAAAACGTTAAGGTCAGGATATGCATTCGTGAAATATAATTGCTTTCCGTAAGAAAGAAGAAACAGCAAATTCCAATAAGAATTTGTCCTTAAGACGAATCGTCCAGAATTCTAAAATATTAATGTTAAAAGTTGTTCAAAAGATAAAACTTTTGACAAGAAAATCAACCTTTTTGGAAGTCAGAGATGGTAGACCTTGTTCAAAAGTTCAGCAGGTTAAACAGAAGGGATTTGCTACATGTACCCGGGCGTTTACATGCCCCTCACATGGGAGCCGGGTCCCACACATTTATTGTGCGCGGGCTAATCCGGACGTGTAAACGCTCGGGTACATGTAGATTACACGCCTGGATACATGTAGATTAATCCTAAATAGAATATGAGAGATTATCTTTGCGAGTTTGGGATATGCATTACGTTCTAAATGACTAATTATAAGTGTTATATGGGCTTGTCCAGCTCACGAGGAAAAAAGTCCAATCCTCTTTATTTCAATTTAGGTCAACAAAAGCGGCCATATATATATAATGTTGAGAAAAATGTAGGGAAATCTGAAAATTTAATGAACTTCAAGGCACGAAAAACGTTATCTTTTAAGATATATTTCTCCCCTATCCAATGAAATCACAACTGGGGTATGATAGAAAATCTCTCTCAGGATACAATGGAGGCGTTTGATTCAAATTATAACTATTTGATCAAATCAAGAAAACACTCGAAAAGAACTGATGATGCCAAAAGAAAGAGAGAAGAATAATTTTTTAATATGTTTTGCAAACGAGAATTAGCCCAGAATTTATAGAAATTGAGACAACCATTTGACTAGTTGTGTCCCTTGAAATGAAGAACACATTTGTTGGAATTTAACTGTAAAAAACGAATAGATGCACCTATTCAAAAACTTTTGAAAATAAAATTCTCTTGCGGGGGCGTTGCCCCCGAGCCCCCATTGGGGGCGCTGCCCCCTCGATCCCAGTTGCGCAGCGACAAATACTAGTTGGGGCAGCAAATCATTCGCAAAACAAAAAATAAATACATGCAAAATGATGAAAAATATCTAACATATAATCCTAAAAAAACCGTGGCTGGCTACAAGAGGAGACAAAAATAAATAAATAAATAAAACAAAGGCTGCTGGGAAGAAAATTAAAAACTGTGGTTGCATATTCGTATAGGAAAACGTGAGCTGGAAAAAGAAAAAGAGGAAGAAAACCAGCGGCTAGAAGAAGAAAAAATAATTGGAAGGGAAGCTTTCTTTCAATCTTTTGGGTGTGAATTCACACAGTTTTTTCTTCTCTACATATTACAATGAAAATTTTCCAAGGTGTATTTTTTGATACTCTAGAGGTGTAGTATTTAAAATAGGTGTCTCACAAGTTCTATCAAATTGTTGATTTGTGGTGAGATTATTTGTTGTCTTGGAGATTGATTATTTGGTATTCTCAATTTGTTGAGAATTCAAGTTTTGGTGCATAAATTTGAATATTGTAATCTATATTTATCATAGTAGAATTGGTCGGAGTTGCCCCGTGGTTTTTTCCTCTACAGTGAAGGGGTTTCTTCACATAAAATTTTGATGTTGCGTTCTCTTGTTTTTCTTGGATCATTTACTTGCATATTTAACTACCATAGTTAATTGTTTGGATTGATAAATTTATTCTTGCAATAAGTGAAACTGCCTAACAATAAGTACATACATACGTTGGAAAGAAACATATCCACAAAATTTTGAACGTTGAATTATGTCATGTCACAATCGAGCCATTAGGGCGGTACAAAATTTAGAATTATAAAACTCAAATTCGTCTCCAAAGGTCCTAATAATAATAATAATAATAAAATTGGAGAAAAACCCACCAATCAGTTCTTGAGAACGAAAGTTGTCATTAAAAGAAATGAATCGCGAAGTTAAAGAACATAATTGGCAAATGAAAAAGAAAATTACTAATTGAGCCTTGGCACAAAGAATGTGTATAATTGAAACAATCTTCAATATGTGCTCTTTCAAATTGTTATGTCCAAGTTCGGCAATCCTCTGTTCTGCCCTTTGAACTATCTAAGGTGTTTATAAAACCTACGGCAGGAAGCAGAAAAGTTCAAATTGCTCACAAAAAGCTTCGCATTCTTTTCAATTTTGTACCCAGATTTTGATACATTGAACAGTAATCCAATCTCAATGGAAAAAGAACATTAGAAAAGGGTCAAACATTGGCAGGGAGAAAGACACACAGTCTTTCCTTTCCTATCGATTTGGATGGATTAAAGCCACCTCGACTCAAGCTAAGAGTTTTAATGCTTTCAGATTGGGAGTACTTGGTTTCTTTCACCTTCCTCGAAAGTCAAAGGCGATCTCTCCATATTAGAAAGCAAAAACAGTAATAAATGGCTAAGAAAGCAACGTAGCAAATCAAGTACCTATATACACACACACACACACACTGAGGACGGGTTTTTGAGGTTAGCTCATCCTCGCGGGATCGTGACCCTTTGTCCCGGACTAAATAGGAACAAGAGAGATCCACCGAAAAAGATCCTTCTCCTTCCTTTTTTTCGGAAGAAAAGGAGGATTCAAACAAAATCGATGAAAAGGAAGAAATCCGAGTGAATGGAAAGGAAAAAAACACAAGATGAATTCCACTTTCTATTAACAAAGACAGGCTCTAAAAATAGCCCAGTTTATGAAGATTCTTATATGATGAACATCAATGAAAACGAAGAATTCTTATTCTACATATTCTAAGAGCGGAGCGAATTTCATTTCATATTGATATATGGTTTTGTAGGCCATATCTTTCAATTTACTTATATTACGACCACTGATATATTAAGCTTTTAACTTGGTTTTGCTAAAAACCATAATTTTAGTAGATTTAATTAAAATATATTAAATATGTAAATAAAAAATTGATAAATGTTGTGGATTCCATTAAATGTAAAATGTAAAATTAATTTTTGACTTTGACTTAAATTTTTATCAATCTTTAGTGAACTGATTAAAAAGGAGATAAGATTTAAGTCGATAGTGCAACAATTATTTACTATATCTTTAAAATCATACAAGTTTTGGAGCAACATTTCTTTCCCGAATTAGTTTCTCTTTTCGAACAAATAGGTTAAAATTTTAATTTTTGTTTATATTACTGTGTAATACATATAATCTTCCACCGATGATAATTTTGTTCCAATTCCCAAATGGACAAAGTATCTTGTACCATAGTTGGTCGTTATTCACTTTTGACCATGATATGAAGCCGCGTTAAGTAAAAGGCCAAGACTTTTGGGGCTAAAAATTGAATGAAATATCTGAGTAATTTCTCCAAAAAAATTTCAGAAAATTTCAAAATATTTTCAACATGAAAATGCAACAAATTTAGGTAATGGGATATATCA